GAAACCTGCAGCCCAGGTCAGCAGACTGGAAACTCTCAGGCAGGGGCTGAGACCACAGTCCACAGACCATACAGTCATCTTCCTCAGGGAAAGTAAAAGTGAAGTCACTCAGTCGTGTCTGACTTTTTGTGACCCAGTGGACTATAGCCTACCAGGGTCCTCCATCTGTGGGGTTCTCCAGGCAACAATACTGGAGTGGGTTGCCATTTCCTTCTCCAGGGGATCTTCCTGACCCAGGGATTGAACCCAGGTCTCCCGCATTGCGGGCAGAAGCTTTACCCTCTGAGCCACCTTAAGGCCCTTCAACTAATTGGATGATTATCACGGATAATCTCCTTTACTTAAAGTCAGCTGATTGTGGAGGTTAACCACATCTACAAAATAGCTTCACAGTAACACCGAGATTAGCGTTTGATTGAATAACAGAGTATTATAGCCTAGACATAAATAAAAGAACGGCCCCTGTTCCAGAAGCCTGGATGAACCCCTCAGCACTGGTTTTTCCCCCAAGAAGTTGTAGTCCTTATCTTTCCTCATGGGTTGGGTTTTTCTCTGGACATTCCTGTCCAGGAAATGGAAGTACACTACTTTCCAGGTTCTTTGAATAGGCATGTAACCCTTCTACTCAAACCCCTGAAACACTGCAAGGACATTTCTTTTTTTTTTTTCTTCAAAATTATTTGAGAATTATCTACATTTTTTAAGTTAGAACACTTCTTAACACCATACACAAAGATAAACTCAAAATGGATTAAAGACCTAAATATAAGACCAGAAACTATAAAACTCTTAGAGGAAAACATAGGCAGAACACTCTGTGACATAAATCACAGCAAGATCCTCTATGAACCACCTCCTAGAATAATGAAAATAAAAACAGAAATAAATAAGTGGGACCTAATTAAACTTAAAAGCTTTTGCACAGCAAGGAAACTATAAACAAGGTGAAAAGACAACCCTCAGAATGGGAGAAAAATAATAGCAAATGAAACTGACAAAGGATTAATTTCCAAAATATACAAGCAGCTCATACAACTCTATACCAGAAAAAAACAAACAACCCAATCAAAAAGTGGGGAAAAGACCTAAAGGCATTTCTCCAAATATACAATGACTAATAAGATGCTCAACATCACTGATCGTTAGGGAAGTGCAAATCAAAACCACAAAACAACACTTTTCACCTGCTAGGGTGGCTATAATCAAAGAGAGAAAATCTTACAATATGAGACTTCCCTGGGGGTCCAGTGGTTGGGACCCCCCTTTCCCCCTGCCCACTTCCACTGCAGGGGGCAAGGGTTCAATCCCTTATTGGGGAACCAAGATCATGCATATCACGATACATAACCAAAAATTTTTAAATATAAATAAATAAAACTTAAAAAAAGAGACAATAACAAGGGTTGGCGAGGATGAGAAAAACTGGAAAGCTCACAGATTGCTGCTGGAATTGTAAAATGGTGCAGCCACTTTGGAAAATAGATTGACAGTTCCTCAAAATGTGAAACAGTTAACAACTGATTTAGCAATATCATACACAACAGGAATATAAACATACCTTCTCCCAAAAACTTGTACACAAACATTCACAGCAGTATTGTAAGATGGAAACCACCCAAAATGTCTATCAACTAATCAGTGGATAATAGAACATGGTTTAGAATGCTATTCACCAATAAGAAGAAATCAAGTACAGTTAGTCCTCCATATTAGCAGCAGCAGCACCTGGGAATTCAATCAATCACAGATCAAAAATATTACAAAAAATTCCAGTAAGTTTCAAAGAGCAAAATATTTGTCTAGGACAGGCAAATATTACATAATTGTAAAAACATTTACATTGTATTTCCAACTATTTACACAGTATTTACATTGTATTAGGTATTATAAGTAATCTAGAGATGATTTAAAGTATACTGATGTGGATGTGTGTAGGCTATATGCAAATATTATGTCACTTTATATAGGGACTTGAGCATCTGAGTGTTGTGGGGAATCCTGGAACTAATTCTCCGCAGATACAGAGGGTCAACTGTTCTGATACCTGCTATAACATGGATGAACCAAGAAAACATTAAGTGAAAGAAGCCAATCATGAAAGGTCACACATGTGAGGGCCTTTCAGGTGGTACAGTGGCATAGAATCTGGCTGCCAAGTCAGGAGACTCAGGAGACGTGGGTTCGATCCCTGGGTCAGGAAGATCCCCTGGAGTAGAAAATGGAAACCCACTCCAGTATTCCTGCCTGGAAAATTCCATAGACAGAGAAGCCTGATGGGTTACAGTCCATGGAGTCACAAAGAGCCAGACATGACTCAGTGACTGAGGATGTATGCATGCACATATGCAATGTTCAAAATAAGCAAATTCATACAAAGTAGTGGTTGCCATGGACTTCCCTGGTGGTCTAGTGGCTACGACTCCACACTCGCAAAGCAGGAGGCCTGGGTTCAATCTCTGGTCAGGAAGCTAGATCCCATATGCCACAACTAAGGCCCAGTGAAGCCAAATAAATAAATACTTAAACAACAGCACCATAACCACGTAGTGGTTGCCAGGGACTTGGGGGAAAGGGGACTGAGAGTGGCTGCTAGAGGACACAGAGTTACTTTGGGCTGCACTTCACAGGCCTACAAGGCCCATGCTTGCCCAGCTTCAAGACTGAAGAAAGATCCCAGAGTCAGCAACAGAAACACCAGTGGTTTAAGGATGGGGGGAGCTTACATGTCTGAAGCAAGGTCCTGAAGCGGTACCCCGCAGTGTGCGGCAGAAAATAGGCAGGAGAGGACCTGGCGGCAATCTTCACTCCAGAGGGGAAGGGAAGGTTACCAGTTATAGGGGAATTGATGTCAGGTGGGCTCATTAGTTACCAGGGAAACCAGTAAAGAGCACACTCGTCACTGCCCCTTTGCTAAGAACAATCACCAGTTGGGACCTGGGGCAAGTAGGTAGTAAGGTCCATGATTTGAGTGGTGAAGCAAGCACTGGTCAGGCAAGGGATGTACAGAGAGCAAGAGAACAGCCATCTTGAATGTCTTAACCATATAAGTTTCCTTTGAGGGTAATGAAAATGGTATGTGAGAGTTCCCTGGTTGCCTAGTGGTTAGGATTCTGGTCTTTCCCTGCTGTGGCCTGGATTCAATCCCTGGTTGGGGACTGAGATTTCACAAGCCAAGAGGTGCAGCCAAAAAAAAAAAAAAGAAAGAAAGAAAATGATCTGAGACTAAATAGTGGGGATGGTTGCACAACTCTGTGAATTTATCAGAATAGGGAATTGTGTACTCTAAAAGAGTGAATTTCATAATATGTAAATTATATCCCACTAAAATTATTATTAAACTTTTATATAAGAGGTTTTACTTTTGCTCCAGTTGCAGTTTTATATAAATCTCAGAATTTTTTTTAGTAAATAGAGATGATATAAATCATTTTCATTATACTACTTTCTAGAAAATGTAAGTAGTAAATTTTAATTTGATAAGCCAGCCCACTATTCTCTAAACAATATATTATCTGAGAGCTGTTCATCCACCAGAGACATTTGAAAAAACAAAACACTTTCTCTCTGCCAGTGGTTCTGTGTACCACAGTTACAACAGAAATATAAAAGTTACTTATCGGCTTGTTAGTCTTAATATATTTTAGTTGATTAAACAATCTCTCAAAGCCATCACTTTGTAGAGCTATGATTCCTACTATGCTCTCACCGCTTGCTTGTCAGTCCATACTCTTTCCACTCATCTGCACAGCTGTGAACATTAAAAACAGTCTCAATAGCAATCATCATAGCTTCAAACATCTATGAAATCCCAAGAATTATACGTAAAATGTGACACGTGTGTGCATTTTTTCCTGGGCAGAATACAACATTATCAGCTTCTCAAAGAGAGTCATTGACCAGAATTTCAGAAGTTGATGTCAGGTCTTTCAGCGATATGCAGCAGACGCGGTTCAGTCCCTGGGTCGGGAAGATCACCAGGAGACGAAAAGGGCAACCCACTCCAGTATTCTTCCCTGGAGAATTCCACGGACAGAGGAGCCTGGCCGACTACAGTCCACAGGGTCACGAAGAGTCAGACATGACTGAGCGACTAACACACAAGCTGCGTTTAGATTTTGTAGTGCAATCTGTGGTTTTAGTTTGCCAAGCATCCCTTCCCTTTTTTCTTGTCATAGCACCCCCTCTTTGGTTGGGGAATAGGGAGACCTTCTTATGAATTCCACAATGATGCTGGAAAATCTTTTCTTTTCATCTGTTACTAAATCCAGAGAAGGTAATTTTGGAGCTGTCTGCACTGTTCCCCCACACCACCCCTCTATGAAGCAGCCTCCCCAGGGGAGCAAGGACAGCTGGGAAAACAAGCAGCACCCAGATTCTCTGAGGTCAGCTTCACCCTTCCCTTCCTCCCTTCCATCCTTCTACAGAAGAGGTGACAACTGTAGTCTGGAGAAGTTAGGGGTGGGCCAGTCCATACAGGACACAGGGATGCAAAGCGTGATTTGGGAGAACTGATTTCTGGGGCTGTACGGAGGGGATGAGCTCCGGGGCAGATAGGATCAGCCCTGGTGGATCCCTCAGCAAGGCATGCACTGCACGAAGGACCGAGGCACAGGGTTAGCTGAGGTCAGGATTACAGAAACCCAGGAGCAAGACGGGGAAGCTTAAAGAGCCAAGCGGTGCCTCCAGGACTGGGGTGACGGCACGGTCAAACCCGGCTGAAGGAACATTTAGCCCCGCCCCCGACCGAGAGGGGAGGGCTAGCCCCGCCTCCCACCCCGGGAATCTTAGCGATGCTAGTGCAACACCACCTCCGAATCACAGATGACTTGTAATCCAGAGAACTGAAGGTCAAATAGGGTATCCATCGGTGAGCTTGGGGAGCGGACTGGAGAGAAAGGACGACTTTCTCTAGGAGCTGTGTGCCCCCCTCCCTTTGCCACCCCCTTCCGGTTTCCACTTGGTAGCACCTTCCTGATCCCCTTATCTCCAAGGCTCTTAAGGATATGCCCCCCTGCAGGAGCCTTCCGGGAAATGCTGCTCTGACCGCCCAGGAACCATGAGTCCTGCAGCTCCGGTAAGAGAGAGGTCCCTGGGACAGGACAAAAGACCCAGGGCAGGGTGGGTTCTGTTCTCAAGGGATCTTTCAGGCCTGGACAGTCTATCTCCTCTAGAATGATATCCTGGATCTGCTCCTAGCTGGGGCTTTGTGGGGTTGAACTATACAAGGAAATGATCCTGGAAGAACAGACCGTGGTGGTGGATAAATAGTCTTCTCTCTCTAGTTGGGCCCTTTTCCATCCATTTTTGACTGTCCTAGAAATTCCAGGCCACAAATTGTACCATCTAGCTCCTCACCCAACCCCAAGCTCCAGTCACTATGTCATAAAATGCCCAGGCTCCTGAGCCTGTCTTCCAAGGCCTTCATGTTACATCCTTGCAACCCCTACAGCTTCATCACCCACCAACCCCCATGATCTCCCACCCCAACCCCTGCACTCTGCTTTCCAAACACTGAAATATGAGACATTGTTGTTCAGGCGCTCAGTCATGTCCAACTCTTTGCGGCCCCATGGACTGCAGCACACCAGGCTTCCCAGTCCTTCACAATCTCCTGGAGTCTGCTCAAAGTCATGTCCATTGAGTCGATGATACCATCTAACCATCTTATCCTCTGTTGACCCCTTCTCCTGCCCTCAATCTTTCTCAGCATCAGGGTCTTTTCCAGTGAGTCCTCTCTTCCCATCAGGTGCCCAAAGTATTGGAGCTTCAGCTTCAGCATCAGTCCTTCCAATGAAGATTCAGGACTGATTTCCTTTAGGATTGACTGGTTTGATCTCCTTGCTGTCCAGGGGATCTCAAGAGTCTTCTTCGGTACCACACTTTGAAAGCATCAATTCTTAGGCACTCTTCATGGTCCAACTCTTAAATCTGTACATGACTACTGGAAAAACCATAGCTTTGACTAGATGGAGCTTTGTTGGCAAAGTAATGTCTCTGCTTTTGAATATGCCGTCTAGGTTTGTCATAGCTTTTCTTCCAAGGAGCAAGTGTCTTTTAATTTCATGGTTGCAGTCACTGTCCACAGTGATTTTGGAGCCCAGGAAAATAAAATCTCTGTTTCCATTTGTTCCCTTCTATTTGCCATAAAGTGATGAGACACTCATACTCATCCTTCAAGACCCTGCAGCCTCCTCTGGGAGCCTTTCTGAACCTCTCCATCAAAGTCAAACTCTTCTTTCCCATTGTCAGATCATACTCTGTACTTTGTGTGTTTATGTTGTGTCCCCCACCAGACTGGAAACTGGGAAATTAAGGGGCTTGTAGGATGTTTCTTTGTGCCTTCCACTAATGCCCAGTGCTAGGCACAAACTGAGTATCAAGAAAACATGGGAAAACTAGGAGCCTGATTTTCTCCCTGTAGTTTTACATTTTTCTAGAAAATTAGAGCTCAAGATTCTTGGGGAAAAGTATTTCATGCTAAATGAACAACATAATGACAAGAGCAAAATAAAATCACAGATGCAGCCTCTCACCTGTGCTCCAAGCGGGCACAGGGCTACCTCCTACGAGAGGCTGTATAGTTCCCAGGTCTAGGCCTGCAGGCTACAAGTCCCAGAAGGACTCCTGTCAGCCCATCGCTACATGCCCCGCCCCCTCCCTGGGGGGCGGGGCCCCGAGGCTGCTAGGCCCAGGGCTGCAGCGGGGAGAGTGAATTGCCCCAGGCACTCTGGGGCACTCAGAGCGCAGGCGCAGCGGGTTGGGCGGCAGCAGCATCAAGTAGCCGGCCGTTTTGGCAGCAGCACCGCAACAGGTGTAGACAGGTGGGTGCATTAAGTGGGGCTGGAGAGGGAGTTTACACTTTGCCTTCTTGTCTGACCTGTGTCAGAGCGTGAAGATGGGAGGGAGCGGCCGGAGAGCAGGGACAAGGCCGGGCTTTCCATCCCAGGTGTGACCGCCAGCTCTTGCTACGCAACAACAGGTGTGAGTTAGTGGGGGAGGGCACTTGGATTCCAATCCAAGCTCCATCACACAAGTACTGGACAGAGTTGCAGCAGGGCCCAAACTTTCCTGTACATTGAATCACCTGGGGATCTTTGAAGACTATCAGTGCTTACCTCCGTCCCTCAGACATTCTGATTTTATTGTTATGGGATACGGCCTGGATATTTGGGAGTTTTAAAAACTCCTACTGGGATAATGCTTGGTAGACAGGACTGCTGGGTGTGAATCCTGGTTCCACTGCTTTACTAATCAAGAAGATCTGTGCAAGTGACTGGACCTCTCCAGGCCCCAGTTTCCTGGGAATAACAAGGAATATTGTGAGGTAATAGATGAAACCACTTTAGAAGTATACCTGGCATATAGTGCTCGATAAATCATAGTTGCTGTTGAACTATTATTCTATGCACTTTGTAAATGGGTTCTTTGTGTGTGTGCGCTCATGCTCAGCTATGTCTGACTCTTTGCGACCCCCAGGGACTGTAGCCCGCCAAGTTCCTCTGTCCGTGGAATTTTCCAGGCAAGAATACTGGAGTAGGTTGCCATTTCCTTCTCCAGGGGATCTTCCTGACCCAGGGATCAAACCCGCATCTCTTTCGTCTCCTGCATTGGCAGGTGGATTCTTTACCACCAAGCCACCTGGGAAACCCTGGTGGGTTTCAAATGTGAGGAGGGCTTTCTTATCATGAAAGTCCCTTGTTCACTGCCATGATTCCACTATTCTCTGCTGCAAGCATTTCAATATTCCAGGGTTTCTAACATTTTCAGAGTTCCTCACTCCAGTCTCTATCTGCCTGATGAACACCTTTTTACAGATCTAGATGTGGAGGCTGGGAAAAGGGACTTGGTCAAGGTTATGGGGATGAGATTGGAATCCAAGCTTCTGACCCCCACCCCCACCCCATTGCAAAGTGTGGCTGCCCTGCTGACCCCACGAGCACAGTGCTCCCATTATGTGCCTGGAGCCACGAATGGAGAGGAGACAGACAGGCTTGCCCTTGTTTGTTTATCCACACTCCCTTAAACCTTTCCTGGTGGCTCCCCCAGGGAGGACCTGGGTGGGGGTTTTTCTCCGGGGAGCCTTTGTGGAGCAGCTGATGAAGTCTGTGATTCCTCTGACAGGTTCCGCCTGACTCCACCCTGGAAAGTCCTTTTGAGGAAATGGCCCTGGTGAGGGGCGGCTGGCTGTGGAGACAGAGTGAGTGACCCTGGGCCAAGCCCTTGTCTGTCCTGTACCTTGTCTGGGGCCAGGGGTGAGGGAAGTGGCCTGTTGGACCTGCACAGTGAACCCTTCTCTCAAGAAACCGTGCCCTTTTTATCCTTCCCTCCTTTGTCCATACTCTTCTCTCTGTCGGGAATGTCCTTCACATTCCTGACTGCTTAGTAAACTACTTATTTTTCAAGACCCAACTCAGGTGTCCCTTTCTGAAAAGAGCTTTCTCTGCCTTTTCTCTGCTCCCCACCCCAGCCCCTGCTGTAGTACCAAGCTGGGTTAGCAGCTCTCTTTTCGGTCCCCAGTGCCTCACACATACCCCTCTTATAGCATGATCAATACTTAACCGTCCTTACCTGTGGACCTCACCAGTCCCCTACCCCATACTGTCTCCAGACTGTGAGCTCCCCAAGTGCAGGGACTGGGTTTAACCCTCTGTGGCCCAGGGTTTGCCACAGAACAAGGCACAGAACAAAATGAAAAATGCCTCTGTTCTTCAGAATTTGTAAAGTTCTCAGAAGCTCTCTTAGTCTTTACTCTTCCCTGTTAAGATTTCCAGTCTCGAAATGTCTAAAGCTAGGGATCGGGCTTCCAGATCCACCTCTGACCAGAGTCATGGTCTGAATAAGAGCTGTCCTGGGCTAGGAGCACCCCTACACCCCATGACCCATCCTCAGGTCATTCAGTCCAGCAAACACGGAGTCCAGGTCCTGCTGGGTTCTAGGATCTGTGAGGTGAGCTATGAACAATCCCTCGGCTCTCCATTTGGCAGAAGAAACAGACACTACACAAATGACTGTCCCCCGGGGCCTCTGTTTTTAAAGTACACAATAACTGTACAACCCTCAGCAGAATGGATGCAATGGAAACTGAAGGTTTCCTTAAGGCAAGCATGTGACGACTAGTCTTCTATTAATTCTTGCATAAATCCTATTCTGCACTCATACAAAAACAGCTTAATGCTCTTTCTCTGACAAACTGTACATGTAGAAACAAATGTTCAATTGGACATGAACTTATATATATTCAGTTGGACATATGGAGGTGTCCTATAACATGTCTTATGATACTTAAAAGATTTCCAGCTTCCCCCAAGGAAGGAATCTGATCATTCATTTACCATTCAGCACATGTATGGAACCTTGACTATGTTGTTAGGCCCAATGGGAGGCAATGGGTGAGCAAGACAGAGAGAGGCCCTGCCATCATTTCAGGGAGTAGACAGACAAGGAAGGGGTGATTACAAGACTGGGGGCTGGGGGTAAGGGGATGCTGGGAGCCCACCGACAGCTCCTGCCCCTGCTCAGGCTCTGTGATCAGCCCGTATTGTGGGTTTGGAATATCGCACAGGCTCCATCCTCCGCCGCTGGAAGCGGAACTGGTTTGCCTTGTGGCTGGATGGGACCCTGGGCTACTACCACGATGAGACTGCCCAGGATGAGGAGGACCGCGTGCTCATCCATTTCAACGTCCGCGACATAAAGATCGGCCAAGAATGCCACGGTGAGCCTTTCTCTCTGTGACTACAGGCACGGCCCTCCCACTGTGTCTGAGAACACCTGCCCTTCTCAGGTGGAAGGCTTTTGCAGCTTTCAGAGGCCTTCCACAGACATTGCTTCTGGGCCTCTATCAAATCCAATTCATGTGGTGTAAGTTAAGAAATGAGTTCCTCCCTCTTACACTGTTGGTGGGAATGCAAATTAGTACAGCCACTATGGAAAACAGTGTGGAGATTTCTTAAAAAGCTGGAAATAGAACTGCCATATGACCCAGCAATCCCACTTCTGGGCATACACACCGAGGAAACCAGATCTGAAAGAGACACGTGTACCCCAATGTTCATCGCAGCACTGTTTATAATAGCCAGGACATGGAAGCAACCTAGATGCCCATCAGCAGATGAATGGATGAGGAAGCTGTGGTACATATACACCATGGAATATTACTCAGCCATTAAAAAGAATTCATTTGAATCAGTTCTAATGAGATGGATGAAACTGGAGCCCATTATACAGAGCGAAGTAAGCCAGAAAGATAAAGACCATTACAGTATACTAACACATATATATGGAATTTAGAAAGATGGTAACGATAACCCTATGTGCAAAACAGAAAAAGAGACTCCTATGTATAGAACAGACTTGTGGACTCTGGGAGAAGGCGAGGGTGGGATGTTTCAAGAGAACAGCATTGAAACACGTATATTATCTAGGGTGAAACAGTTCACCAGCCCAGGTTGGGTGCATGAGACAAGTGCTCGGGCCTGGTGCACTGGGAAGACCCAGAGGGATTGGGTGGAGAGGGAGGTGGGAGGGGGGACCGGGATGGGGAATACATGTAAAAAAAAAAAAAAAAAAAGATACACTATGGTTGTGATTAAAAATAAATAAATAAATTAATAAATTAAAAAATAAAATAAAATAAAATAAAAACCAAAAAAAAAAAAAAAAAAAAAGAAATGAGTTCCTCACTGAGTTCCTACCCTGTGCTGAACCTGGGCCCTATGCTGGGTTCACAGAGGTGAGTCAGACACAGCTCCTGCCCTCTCCAGTGCTAGGAATGGAAAAAAATGAAATGAAATAAGGAGGCTCAGAGAAGTTAAGTGACTGTCCCAGAGTTACCCAGCAAATATCCCTGATCAAGGCTCAGGTCATAATTATAACAGGGAAACTGGGAGAGAGATGTACCTAGCTAGGGAAGCAGGTGATGTGGAAAGGTGGAAGGGTCTAAAGAATTGAGTAAAATCCCAGGAGAAAGTATGTGAGATCAGTTAACTGGACCCAGGGAAGTCAGTTCCTGTTCTTGTTCCTGGTTTATTGGGGAGACTTGGGGCCCGTGCCCTGTGGAAACCCCATACGTGTGTGTCTGCCTTTAGATGTGCAGCCCCCAGAAGGCCGGAGCCGAGATGGCCTGCTGACTGTGAACCTGCGGGAGGGCTCCCGCCTGCACCTGTGTGCTGAGACCAAAGATGACGCCATGTGAGTCGCTCCCAGGAGAGGATGGGGTGGTATCTCGGGAATATGACCAATGACTTCCTCCTCATTAAGCCTCTAGCACCCTAAAGGTAGGAAAGCGGGACAAAGACCAGTGAGCATGGTGGTTCTGTGGAGGCTGGGCAGAGTGGGTTTGAATGACTCATGGTGATTGATATGGTATCCAGTAAACTCCTGACATGGTCCACAATGAATTCAAGACTGTTGTAGGGGGGCAGTGTGTGCACAGCTGCCTCAGGTGTGGTCCCTGGTCGTTCATCAGGGTCAAGTATCTAACAGCCTCTGAGGTAAGCCCTCACTTGGGGTGATACACAGGAACAGACAGCCCTGTGGCATCTTCAGAGAACCCTCCTCTCACTCCCTTCTTAGAAGATGGCCTGGGGTGGGAGGTACTCTGATCTGAGGGATAGACCCTAACGTGCCTAACAGAGGTAGCCCGAGGGGCACCCTGTGTTGGATGCAGATCCATACTGTGAGAGCCTGGGTGTGTATTCCTCAGGCGCCTTTTGCTCACTCACATTCTTTCCCTTCCTACTCTCTGGCAGAGGGTCAGTTGGCCTTCACGCTGTAGGAGAGTGAAAGAGATGGGATGTGTGGGAGCAGGGGAAGCCGAGCTCGGGGTAGACAAAGCACAGAGCCTCCTTGTCCACCCCAGCCAGGTGCCATGGCAACCAACAAAGGCTCAATTGTCCGGTGTCCACTAGGCGTTCCCGGGGCTCTGGGGTCAGAGTGTGGGGGGATCCGAGTTTGTAGGTTTGGGATGTGGAGGTAGGCTGTAGCCAGAGAACCAGCCTAGGCATGTCAGAATCTGAACCACTAACGGACCACCCAAGCCCAGCTGTCTTTTGTCTAGATGGGGAAACTGGAATCTCCCCAGCGGTGAGGAGACTATGGACTAAGGAAGAGTTATAGAACTGCAGCAGCTCAGCTGGGGGCTTGTCTGTGTGACTGGGGCAGCTGAGGGGGCCCCCTTAGTCTTCCCAAGGGAGTGAAGAGGATCTCCCCCTTCACAAGGGACTGGGGCTAGAGGCGGGGAAGGGGAGGAAAGTCTAAAATGTGGGGCCCAATCTCCATTCTCCTGAACTCCCTCCTCATGGTCTCGTGGGTTTGCATTGCAGAGCATGGAAGACAGCACTGCTGGAGGCGAACTCCACGCCGGTGAGCCCCCTTCCCTCCCTGTCTCCTCCCCACCCCTACTTGCCATGGAATCATGGGTGACTCAGACTTAGTCTCCACCTGCCAGCAGTTCTCAGTTTCCATATATGTGAGTGAATAGACTTGTGCAGACTCAGAGGCCCTGAGTCCCAAGTGGAAAAGGACAGAAGACGGCCAATGGGTGAATAAAAGATATTCACCACAAGATTTGGAGGAGGGAGAGAGAGGCCTCCAAGAAGGCTTGTTGAAAGGGGTGGCATGTGAGCAGGAGGAAAGGAACTAGCTTTTATTCAGCAACTATTATGTGTCAGGTGTAGTATAGTTGTAATACCAGCTACTCTCACAGCCTTCCTGCAAGGTTGGGATTATTGTTCCCTCTCTGCAGATGATAAGGTTGAGCTTTATTCATTCACATAACAAATGTTTACTGAGTTCCTACTATGTGCCAGGCACTGTGCCAAGGACCATAATCAGAAGGTAGCAGAGGAGATGTGGGCCCTGCCCTCCTGGACTCAGCCTAGCGGGGAGCTAGATGTGAAGTCACAGATTAGAGTTAGTGGCTCCATCGCAGTGATGGGAACTGCTCAGACAGAGATGGCAGAGTGCATTCAGGGTGCACCCACCATGATGGCCTGATCCAGGTGGGAGTCCAGATGAGGCTCAAGATGAGACCTGAAGGATAACAGAGATAACTGGGTGAAAGGGATGGGGTGAGGGGAACAGCCTTCCAGGCAGAAAGAGCTGCAGGTGCAAGGGCCCTGAGAAAGGTTAAAATGTTGGCAAGTTGACAGACAGAAGGAAGGCTGGGGTGACTGCTGCTCAGGGAGCGAGAGAGCAGTCGGGGAAGGAGGGTTAGCAGGCCAGGCACGAAAAGCTGTGTTAAGGATAGTGGTTTCTGCTGAGAACACTGGAAGTCATTGGAAGTTTTAAAAAAGACCAGACTTGTAGTTTTAAAAAGATAGTCTGACTGGTAGGTAGGGAATGGACTGAAGAAGGTCCAAGTGGATGCCCAGAGATCTGTTAGAAGGCTGGGACAGGTGCAGGGCATTTGGCTAGGGGTCTGGACTAAGGCCTTGCTGGCAGAGACAAGATGATGAGGACAAGACACATTTAGGAGGTGGAGTCAACAGACTGGCCTCAGCCCCCATCTGCCTGACCCCAGACTCTGTGCCTGCTCTTTCTACCTGTGACATGGAAGAGCCCCTTCTCATCTGGAGAAAAAGTCTGCTTGGAAGTGGCAGGGAAGACTGGAACGCATTTAGAAACTCCCTAAGTGTCCGCCTGCTGAGAGCTGGGCATTGTGCTTGAGGACCTAGCATCCACTGTATCAGTTAATCTTCAGTGAGAAAGAGGAGGGGCTGGTATTCTTAGTCCCATTTTATAGATAGGGGAGCTGAGGTTCAGAGGGGAATTGGCTTGTCCAAAGCCTCATGGTCGGAAATCAGTGGAAGAACCTGTATTAGAACCTAGGTCAGTGAGATTTGAGGGAAGGGAATTATCCACATAAGGAGCTACATGAGCCAAGGTGGGTAAGTGGTATGTGCAAATATGTATGTGCAGACATGTACATCTAAAGGCCAGGAGTCTGGCCTGGATGGAGGATAAAGCGTGGAGGGAAAGAAATAGGAGATGTGACCTCTGAGGAGCCACATCACAGGCGCCTTGAAGTCCAGGAAGGAAGTGAACTTTATCCCGAGGGTTGTGGGGAACTATTAAGGGCATTAAGCAGGGGGACTATGGTCAGGCTTTGGGGAGCAGACTCAAGCTTCTGGGTAGAGGCTGTGTAAGAGGAGGCTGGGATGATGGTCAGCAGGATAGAGTTACCTGGCTCTGAGCTCAAAACCTGGCTGATGCAGGGCAGATCCGTTGTCCCACCCAAGAGAGTCAGAAAGAAGAGGTGAGGTCTGGCCGTCTGCACTCTGTGACTCTATGAAGCTACCTGTCCCTTCTCTGCGCCCACCTTCCTGCTGCTCTGCTTCCTACATCTCTCTGCTCGGACCCTCCACTCCACCTCCCACTGCTCTACACACACACACACCCCTCTGGTCCCTAGGCTTGCTTGACCTGGGTGTATTTGTGCCTCTGTGTCTTTGTACCAGTGTCTGCCCACCTCTGAGTGTTCACGCCTGTGTCTGTCTGTCCTATGCCTACATAGGAGGGACCCCTGCATTGTGCCTCTACATCCTGCAGGTTTATACCCTACACTGGGTGGAGGTTCCAGGAGGAGCCCCTGACTCTGGCTGTTCCAGGGAACACAGGGGTGGCGGGCACAGTCATGGGTGATGGGTGCAGGTGGCTGAGTCAGTGATCGGAGCTATTCTATATTCCCTGGAGACTGGGAGCCTCAGCGGCCTGGAACAGGTGAAGGTGGGTGGGCCGGTTCTGGAGAGACACTACTGATCCTTCTTCTCTGTGTAACTTTGGCAATTTCACCACCTCTTCTGAGCCCCCCACCATTACCCTGGGCTGAAGAAGAAGAGGATAGCCATTTCCTTGCCCAACTGGCAGAGGGCTTCGCTAGGGCCTGTGAGGAGCTCCGAGTCTCTCCCGATGTAGAGGGCCTCTGACACGCCCCCTCCCTCCCCTTCTTGGGTTTCTGTGGCTTGAGCAGGCCCCAACTGGAGCCACCGTCCCTCCCAGGAGCCGCCGGGTTTGCCCCAAGGTCAGGTGTGTGACCCGCTCGTGGAGCCCCTGTAAGGTTGAGAGGCGGATCTGGGTAAGTGCTGGCTCAGCCCTCCCGGCCACCATTCTGGCCACCAGGATGTGCCTCCCAAAGTGGGCCCGGCCACATCCCCTCCCTGCTCACAAACATTCCATGGCTCCCAACCATTCGCAGGACGACCAACCCTGCTTTCAAGGCCTCTGGGATCTGGCCTGGGCCAGACTCGCTCACCCCGTCCCGCTTGTCCCCTGTGCTCCAACTGCTCTGCTCTGTCCTCTGCTCCCAGCTGTGCCAGACCTTCTTCCTCTCTCCAGCCTCTGTATATGCTGCCCTCTCTGCTGCAAAGACCTTTACTTTCCTTACTCACCTGACAACATCCTCTAAGATACCCCTCAAAGACTGCCACCTCCTCAGGGAGGACTTCCCAAACCTCCAGGCATTGTCACTCCCTCCCACTGCACTAGTGCTTGGTACTGTCTTCATTCTGCCTGATTTCTAGTTCCTTCATTTCTGTCTGTAGTCTTCCATGAGACCTGGAACTTCCTTCAAGGCAAGAATCAGGTTAGGTCAGCTCTGCCCCCTTGGGAGCCTGGCACAGTGCTGGGTATACAGTAGGTGTGCAATGAGTGCTCAGTGATGGGGGCAGTCTATTTTGACTCTCCTACTCCTGGTGCCTGAAGGTGGGGCACAAGAAGGCCTCAGGCACTGTTCACTTACTGGGCAAATGAATGAATGAAGAAAGGGAGAAAGGAAGGAGTAAAAAAACCTGTTATGACCTCACTACTGCATATTATAATTTAGTCCATGTCTGTCTCCCTGCCACACACTCCAGCCAGTGTTTCCGGAAAGCAGTATTTGGGGACAAATCCTCTCTCTGTCCCCAGTGCTCAGCCTGGCATGGGGTGGGCGCAGTGAGGGGGCTTGGGTTAGAGTACCTGCGGTCAACTCTGACCTTTTCTAACACAGTGAAGCTCAATGTAGCTGTGCATTAGAATCGCTTAAAGACTTAAAAACAATGCAAATGTTAAGCTCTTACCTCCGGATGCTCTGTGTAGTTCTGGGGTGGCGCCTTGGAAATCTGTGGTTTCAGAAATTTCTGCAGACAAGTCTGATGTGCAAAACCACTGAACCCAGCAATGCTCGCATCACCTGGCTGCACAGACCTGGCTCTGTTGGATTCTCACTGTGCCTTGGGAGTGGGCAGTGTAGGAAAGACTGTCCTCGTTAATAGACGAGAAGACTGAAGCTCTGAGAGGTTATCTGACATGACCAGGGGCACTTAATTCATCAGTGATTCCCAGCCCAGAATTCTAAGGCATCTGTGGGTAAGACATCCCCATACCCAAACTAGGATACAAATTGTTTACAGTGGAGATGCCTAAAAATAGAATTTTAAAAGCCATAAACCTACCTATACACAACAGCTTTTCCTTTTTTCCCCTTTTGTGTGTCCTTTTATTTTTTCTAATCTTATTGAGTTATAATTAACATATAACATTGTATTAGTTTAAGGTGTACAACATGATTTGATATATTTGTATATTGTAAAATGATTATTAATGTACAATAGCTTTTCTGAGGGGAGGGGTCTATTTGTATGTGACCTCCTGATTGACCCCGTCCCCACCTACAAAAGGGGCTGGACCTGCAGAGAGGGAGAGGATCTGGGATCAAACCCTTAGGGTCTGTCTGGGAGGTCTCTGGGGAGTCCCCCGCCCCGTTGCCAGGTGACTCACATGAGTTTACCTGGGCCTCTTAGGCATGGAGGATAGAAACAAGTGCCCCACAGAGATATGAAGTGAGTGGTGTTTTCCACTTTCTTCAGGGCCTGGGATGGTCACTGGCTCACAGTGCCACTGCAGGGCAGATGTAGGCTCTGGACCTCAACTTCCCGACCAGTAAAATTGGGGACCTGAGAGCTTAGATCTCTTTAGTCCCTTCTAGGCTTAGAGCTCAGATCCTGGTCACCCCCAGCAGAAACCCCTACTGGATCACCCATGGGGAAGGACCATAGCAGGGAAGTCACTTGAGACTGAGCCTTGTTTGTCTGAGCCTTCTGCATTGCTCTGGGTCTGGTCATTGTCCCTAACTTGAAATTAGACTTAAAAATTGGGTGACTATAGTTCCAGTCTGACTCTGTATTTGACTCAGGATAAATATATTAGACACCTGCCATATTCCAGTCAGGCCTATTTTTAGACCAGGTGGTGGTGGGAGTATTTTCTTCAAGTATGATGGGAGAGACACCTCACAGGGATACCAACAATAAAACCACAGAGCGGTTGGTGCTGTGATAAGGGAAGTCAAAGGGCTGTGGGTGCCCAAATGGGGCCCTAACAGAACCTGAGGTTCAGAGAGAGTGATATGTTGAGTGTGAAAGACAAGTTAGGTAGTTGAATAAAAAAAAGATGAGAAAGGCATCCTTATCAAAGAGAAATGGCATAGATATTTGAAATCTCAAGTGCTTGGAGGAGGACTCCTTACAACCAAACTTCTTGAAAGAGATGTCATGATATGTTGACTCCATCCCTCACCTCTCAACCATTCTTCAATCCTCCATAGTCTGGCTTCTTCCTCCAACAACTCCTCTGAAAAGTGTTTTCAAGGTCACCCACAATTTCCAAGATGCTAAAACCAATAGCTTATTCTCTTGGCACTGGACAAGAGAATGGACAGAAGAACATATTTAGAAGATAAAATCATGAGGTGTGGTGACAGTGTGATGTGGGAGATGTGTGTGAGGACAAAAGTGCCAACCTGCTGTCTTGGTTTAAGTGCACGGTGGTGGCGTTCACAGAAGAACAGGTTTGGGGCGGGGGGCGGATAGAAGGATGATGGAATCACTTTGAGATGGGTTAAGTTTGGACACCTGAGCTTCCAAGGGACCACCTGGACCATTTAGGTGTAAAGCTCAGAGATATACGGTGCAAAGGGGATAAGAAGAGGGAGCCAGAAGCGAAGGGGATGCTGCCCCCTCTTCAGGTCTGTTCCCTTTGGGTAAAATGAAGGTCTTCGATTAGGAACTTCTGTTTAATTCATCATGTATTTATTACTCCATACTAGTCACTAGGCCCTGATGGTAATACAAATGAATTAAAGTCCTTGCCTACAGCTCACGTCCGGGGTGCAGGCAGGAGAGGTCAGGAGGAAGGCCAGGAACAAGAGACACAAGCATAGGTCACAGAGCACTCAGGAAGAAAGGATTTTTTCTGAGACCAGAAGGTCTTCCTGGAGTGGATGACCTTTGAGTCAGGCTTTGAGGGATTGATAAAAATCTAATGAGGAAGGGAAGGTGGACATCTATTCCTCCCTCCCAGAGAGAATGCTGACTGTTCTCCTCTGAGCCTCCATCCTTGGCTGTGTGATAGAGTGGAGAACAATGCCTGCTCTAAGGATGAGAGGAAATAACATATTATTTCCTCCCTCAGGACCTGGAAGTGATGGATGCTTAATGATACTTTAGTTACTTCTCATCTCTATCCTTCGTTTCCCTTCCTTCCTCCACACCCCCCTTTCCTTTCCTTCCTCCACATCCCCCTTTTATTTCCTTGCCCAGGCCCCCCTCTCCATGACTAGGAGAGTAGAGAAATCCATTGACTTTCTCCAAGTGTGACCACTGGAAAACTGCTATTTGTCAGCAAATAATAGCAAATCTATCAAAGGAACTAAGGAGCCATGGAGGATTTTTGATCAGGGGAGTGCTAGGTAGGAAAACGGGCAGGAAAATGGCATCATTGGGAGCTGAAGTTTTAGATAAGAACAGATTTGTGGGGAGGTGGGGCTTACATTCAGGAGCTTACCGGTATCCGGAGACCCATTTCTAAATTTAGCAAGGCGGCGCTGTGGGCCTAGAAGGGTGTGAACCAGGTGTGAGGGGTAGGGGACCAAAGCCTGGCCCAGATCGCTGGCAGCTGACCAGGCAGGGCTTCCCAGGTGCGCGTCTACAGCCCGTACCAGGACTACTATGAGGTGGTGCCACCCAACGCGCACGAGACCACGTATGTCCGCAGCTACTATGGACCGCCCTACGCAGGTAAGTCTCCGGCCCGCCCTTGCCCCTGCCTATATCCCCAGCCACAGTCTGTCAGTAGGGACCGCCCCCCCCTACCCCCCCACTTTTAGTGACCACATATTTTCCCAAGGGGACCCTCTGCAAGGCCCTCCCCATCCCATAAATCAGAACAGCTCTGGGATCAGAGCCCCTCCCCACTCCAGAGCTGACCTCTTCTCTAGGCCGGCCCCTATTCGCTGGCTGACCAGCAATACCCGTTCCTGAGTTGGTAGCGACCCCTGGTGGCTAATGCTGGAGAAGCGGCCTCCCCTCACTCCAGGATCTAGCAGTTGGGAAGGCCCATCCTCAGGTGTGGTCCAGAGACCCCACGGTTTCTTCGCCGATCCACCCTAATCCCATGGTCCCAGAACGTCCGTAGCAGATCCAGGGAATAGAAGCTTTGGGGACAGAGCGCGCGTCCTTCCTGTTTCAAGGCCTCAGTCTCTCCGACTGGAGAGCCAGAGAGAGCCAGAGAGGACCTTATCTTGGGCTGGGGTTTAGTGGAAGGAGGCGGATGATCTCTCTGCTTTCTCAAGTCCCCGGCCCTCACAGGCTTTCTCTCCGCAGGGCCTGGAGTGACGCACATAGTGGTGCGGGAGGATCCCTGCTACAGCGCGGGCGCCCCGCTGGCCATGGGCATGCTTGCGGGAGCTGCCACAGGTGCCGCACTTGGCTCGCTCATGTGGTCGCCCTGCTGGTTCTGAGCCCTAGACCCTGCGCGTAGACCAAAAAGACCCCCTTTCTGTTTGGTCCCACCTTTCACTAGCCGAGCCCTCTCCCACTTTGGAACCTATTATCCCAGGCACAAACATAGCTCAAAATCCTTCTATCTACTGCTAGACACTCCAGAAATCCATTATAGACATATTTGGATATGTTTCTCCCCAATACACCAGGACACAGAAAACGCAACTCATGGGGCTTCCAGTTCCTCAGCCACTGGAGACACAGAATCAGGTTCTTTCCTCTGGCAGCTCCAGGCTTGGTGGGGGCAAACAGGAATTAAAGAATCACTTAACAAGGTGGAATTATCCAGCTTTTGACAGTTATGAGGACAAAGAGTGAGGAAGGTAGGCTAGGACTGCAGTTGTTGGCAAGACTGCACAGCTGTGAACATAATGGTATGTCCAAAGAACTGAAAGGGAGTCATTTGGGCTGGGGTGTGGGCAGGGGCCAGATCATGACGGTCCTCCAGGCTAAGAAGGTGCTGAGTAAGGAGCAGATGTGAGCCTTTTGGAGGGAAGTTTCATGATTGCACTTATAATGAACATATTGCCTGTTTTAATACCCTAACACTCCCTGAATTTAGCCCCATCCTTCCCACTACTAGATTTCTGGGTCCCTTGTTCCTTCAATGCTCAGAAAGCCCCTGTTTTCCATGTTAGGGTACTTGGGGCAGCAATTGAGCTGAACCGGAGGTCCCCTTGCTAAGGGGCAGGTGAGCTCTTATTTGTGACTTGCCCCTAGGTTGGTGCCTCCATCAATAAATGATTTTCTACTCCCCAGGACATTGGCTCTCTATCCATAGCTGTGGCTATCACCATCTCAGGCTCTGTCCCTTCCTTCACTCTGAGAGAGATGGCAGTGTTCACCTCTGGGACCTGATCCATCTTTGTCTCAGTCCAAGAGGCCCCACATGTGCCTCCCTGCAGGTGGCCCAGCAGTCTCCTCATTTGGCCCCCTTCTGGTCTCCTCTCCCATCCTGTCCCAATCACTAGCAGAAATGCTAACATTCCTGCCCAGTAGCCAGAGTAGCATGCTAAAATTCCCTTGTAGATAGGGGCTCCAGTTGCCCTGCTGCAGAAACCAATAAAGGTATGGTTGGCTCTAGCCCTGACTCTGACTTTGTTTGTTCCCCCGAGGTGCCCTGCTCCCTGGGACATTTCCATGACTCAGCACTGACTAGTGCCCTTCTCTGGTATAGAGGGAAGAGTGAGGATCAGGTAGAACTGGTGGCAGCATGTTAGCTGCCATGAGGAATTAGGGGCACGTCACTTGACCATTCTGGATCTTGCTTTCCTACTATAAGCTGGAAGGTTGAAGTTGGCCATCCTTGAAGGCTTGACAGGAAAGGCTGCATGAGAATCTCTGTCATCTGAGCTGAAGCATGATCCAGGCCATGCCCTGCCTGTCTGAGCATCCTGTGGTATTGGGTAGCATCTTTTCCAGTAGGTTCCTATCCTTCTAGAATTGAGACAATGAATTGTACTCATAGAGACAAGGTGCCCATGGAAGGAAACAACCATCTTAAATCAGGCCTTTTGAGGCTGTTATGTAACAGAAATCCCCTTTCTCAAACTGATTTAAGCCAGAGAAGGGAAAACATATGGGGCTTCCCTGGTGGCTCAGATGGTAAAGAATCTGCCTGCAATTCAGGAGATCCGGGTTCGAAAGATGAGAAGGAAACGGCAACCCACTCCTGTATTCTTGCCTGGAGAATTTCATGGACAGAAGAGCCTGGCAGGTTACAGTCCATGGGGTTGCAAAGAGTCGGACATGACTGAGCGACTAACACACAAACACACAAGGGAAAATACTGGGCCACAAACCTGAGAACCCAGAAACTGTGTGGTCCAGGGACATGAATATTATCACTTAAACTTTGCTTCGTTTCCATCTTTATAGCCACTGAATCTACTGCGATCTGGAAAAGATGGTCTAAAACAACAGAGCTTAAAGCAGGTCTGGGGTAGTGTCCCAAAGGAAATTTAGGGCACTGTTTCCAGAAGTAGATGAATAAGTGAGAGCTGGGAGGCAAAAATATCAGTTATGTTTCCAGACATGAACTTAAGAGGGATACATAAGCAAAAAGCAATGATTCCATGAAGTAAGATAGGAACATGGTACAGTGGAAGCTCTGAAGAAGAGGTGTCCAACTGTGCCGAGGAGACTGGGGAAAGCTTTGAGATAGGAAGTGAAAATTTAGGGTAAACCTTGAAGGGTGAGTGGGAGTTTGCAAACAGAAAGGAAAAACAACAGAGAGAAGAAACGGCATGCAAAGGCCTAAAAACATTTTAGATTTGAGAGTACTGAGAAATTCAGGCAATGGTCTGATAGCACAGCAAGTTGCATGATGAGAAGGGGTAGTAGTTGGGCCAGGCTATTGAGAACCTCCCACAGACAGGGTGAGAAAGATGCAAATGGATGTCCCAGGTGCAGTGGATTCTTCACCATCTGAGCCACTAGGGCTCCCCTTACTTCAAAATCTCTCCATTAATGATTGCAGCATGAATTAATCTTCCAGTTGTTCACTAGACAATTATTAAATTATTCACACACATATTAAGACAAACATTCATTCTCACAGACAACACAGTTTAATCTGAAGGTGGCTGGCCTAAGGATCACATCTGGCCTACATACTATTTATCTGATCACCACAGTGATTTTTTAAAGTTTCAAATTAAAATGTGATAATCACTACATACCCAACTAAATGACTAAAGGTGAAAAAGACAACATTAAATACTGATGTGGAACACCCCTGGGAATCTCACATAAGTGTAAACTGGTACAGCTGCTTTGGAAACTGATCAGGTAAGCCAAACATATGCGTATCTCTTAACCCATCAATTCTACTCCTACGTACTCTCAAACAAATGTATTCATGTATTCACCTAAAAATAGGTACAAAAGTGTCATAGAAACACTGGAAAAAAACCTCAAATTCTAGAATAGGTGGATTCATTTGTATATTCTATTCACAGAATGGAATACTAGTCAATAAGAATTAATTATCCAAAAGTATTCACAAAATCATGAGTGAATCAAAAAAATCAGAGAGGAAAAGGGGAATGGGGGTGGGAGAGGGAAAACAGAGTTACACTATGACAAGTTTCCTATTTCTTATTGAATAAGTGTAATATCAACTTTAGTATATGCTGATAAATCAAAGATGCACACTAGAATCCGTAGAGCAACCAATGAAAATATAATATGAAGAGGTTAAGCTAAAAAAGCCAATAGAGGAGTTTAAAGAGTAGATGCAGCAAAGAAAACAAACATCAACACAGCAGACTCATATTCAAACATACTAATAATTACATTAATTTTAAGTGGGCAAAAAGCATAAATTAAGAGGCAGAGATTATCAGAATAAACAAGCAAGACACAACTATGTAACTTTGTACAAAAGATACACTAAAATACACAAATAGGTTGAAGGTAAAAGGACAGAAAAAGATACACCAGGGAATTCCTTGGTGGTCCAGTGGTGAGGACGCAGTCCTTTCACTGCTGGGGCCTGAGTTCAGTCCCTGGTCAGGGAACTGAGATCCCTGAGCTGCGCAGCAAGGCTGAAAAAAAAAGATATAACATGCAAAGAGTAGGTATCAGAAAGTTGGAGTAGTTATTGTAATATTAGACAAAACAGACCATAAGACTAAAGTTATCAGAAACAAAGAGGGGCATTTCATAAAGAGTCAATACATCAGGAAGATGATAGCAAGAGAGTCAATACATCAGGAAGATGATAGCAGTTCTACAAGAGAGATTTACACCTATAAATGCATACATTAAGAAAGAAGAAAGACCTCAGTAACCTAACTAGACACCATAAGGAATCAGAAAAAGAGCAAACTAAACCCAAAACTTGGAGAAGGAAGAAAATAATAAAAATTAAAGCAGAGATAAAAGAAATAGAGAAATTCAGTGAAACCAAAAGTTAGTCTTTGAAAAGATCAACAAAATTGATAAACTTTAGCTAAGGGAGGAAAAAAGAGAAGACTACAATTACTAAAATCAGAAAATAATAGTAGAGACATCACTACTGGTTATATAGAAATAGAAAGGACTATAAGAATAATATAAATATGTATGCCAACCAGTTGGATGACAAAGAGGAAATGGAAAATTCCACACAACCTACCCAAATTGAGTCATAAAGAAATAAGAAATCTGAATACATCTATAGTAAGGAGATTGAATCAGTAATCAAAAACCTCCCAATAAAGAGAAGTTCAGGACTAGATGACTTAGGTGATGAATGCTACCAAATATTTGAAGAAGAATTAACACTAGCACTTCTTAAACTCTTCCCCATAAAATGAAGAGAAAACATTTCCTAACATTCCATGAGGGTGGTATTACATGATATCAAAGCCTGACAAAGACAGTACAAGAAACCTTCAGACCAATATTCCTTATGAATATTCTTGGAAAAATCCTCAGAAAATTACTAGCAAACTGAATTCATCAGTGTATTAAAAGGAATGTACATAACAATCAAGTGCGATTTATTCCTGTAGTGCCAGGAACTTTCAACATATGAAAGTTCATCCATTTAATACACTACATTAATAAAATAAGGGCTTCCACAGAGGCTCAGTGGGTAAAGAATCTGCCTGCAATGCAGGAAACACAGGAGATGCAGGTTCAATCCCTGGGTTGGAAAGATCCTGTGGAGAAGGAAATGGCAACCCACTCCAGTATTCTTGCCTGAAAAACCCCATGGACAGAGGAGCCAGCAGGGCTACAGTCGATGGGGTCACAAAGAGACATGACTGAGCAACTAAGCAGCAACAGCATTATTAATAAAATAAAGGGGGAAAAACCCATAATCATCTCAACTGATGCTGAAAAAGCCTAAAATTTAATACCTTTTCATGATAAAAACACCCAAGAAACTAGGAATAGGAATTTCTTAACATGATAAATACTACATATACTACCCACAGCAAATATTATATTTGGTGGTGAAAGACTG